ATGGCTTGGAAACAGGGATGAGCACCGCTCCCTAGAGTCAGACACAACTGGACTAAATGTCAAGGGGAACCTTTACCTTTTTTAATTACAAATAACAAGGTGCTTATAATCCATTACTTTAAGAAATAACTAAGACAGAATTAATTCCAAAATCCATATAGTAATGGAAATAGGCAGAAAAATCAGTGCTTAAGGCTTGACACACATTGCAATAGTCAATTAACAAAAGACAACTCCACCACCCTTTCCAGTGTAATGGCAAGCTTTTATTACTTGTGAAGTTACACTGGGTATGCAACCACTGTACTTAGAGATGCTTGGTGCCGTAGACCAGAATCCTTCAGCATTCTGATAGTCTTTTTTTTAATAAGTTACTTAAATATAACAATTTGACTACTTCTGAATAACAAACAAGCATTTTTCTAAGAAGTAGCTGTTTGCCTGTTTCAACATAAAAAACACCATTAATCTGGAATTATAATGATAATTTACAACTTTTGGGGGTCCTTGGGAGCAAAATTGTAACTACAGTCGTGCCCCGCTTTGCGATTACCCCGCATTACGACGAATCCGCTTCACGACATTTTTGCAATATCGAAACGATGGTCTAAATAGGGTTTTTTCGCTTTGCGATGATCGGTTCCGTTTCGGGAACCGATTCTTCGCAAAACGATGTTTTTTTAACAGCTCATCGGCGGTTTCAAAATGGCCACCAGGTAATTAAAATGGCTCCCCGCTGTGTTTAGGGACGGATTCCTCGCTATACAGGCACCGAAAATGGCCACCGTATGGAGGATCTTCGCTGGATGGTGAGTTTTAGCCAATTGGAATGCATTGAACGGTTTTCAATGCATTTCAATAGGCTTTTTATTTTCCATTTACGTTTTCGCTTAACAGCAATTTTCCTGGAACGGATTATCGCCATTAAGCGAGGCACCACTGTACAGTAGTTGCTTTTTAAAAGCAAACTTCCAAAATGTGCTATCAAATCCTTCCTAATTCAAATCCTTTTTCTGCCATATACTTCTGCTGCTCTTCTCTCATCTTCAGGATATGTACCAGATTCCTGAACTCCTCATAACAGAGGTCCTTAAATGGGAGTTACAGTCCAACAACTTCTGGAGAGCTATATGTTCCCACCCTTTCTGTAGAATTCATGAATGTATGTGAATTCATTAATGAATTGTGTTATTATTAAAACATGGTCACTTTCATTCTCTTCTAGTGGATTGCAAAGTAAGAATACAGGCCAGAATCATTTTGCTGATTTTCACATGTGTAAGGGAATTTATGTAAGTCTCTGCAGAAAATTCTTGCCCATTGATAAGGCTGCCTGTGATCCTCAGCTTGTGCCAATATTGATGTAATTTTCCTTATTCAAGCCTAGATTGGCCATAGGATTCCAGCCATTATATAAAAACCAAAATGGGGATTTGTCTATTTGGATCTCTGTGTACTTCCCGAACAAATTGCTGAGAGACAAAACAACATATTTAACTATAAAACAGAGACTTAGAAATGTTTGCTCTCTAAGGTCTTCTTTTGAGCCTTTATGATAACTAAGATGATGTACAGCATTTTATAGAGGGTTTTTTAAATGGTGGTGATAACGTTCATACAGAACCTTCAAACGTTTGTTTTCAAACACGTCATGCGCATGACCGAGTTGTAATCTCTACAACAATGCTGCGATGCAAGGAACATAAGGCCCTACAGATGTTTTCAGACTGTAGCTCTCAGGAGTCCTTACAATGTGTAACAAGGAGAGTTGAAGAAAGAATAATTTTTATGAAATATGGGGCAAATTTTTGAAATATGTGCTAATAAGGGGGAAAGGGAAAGCTCCAAATCAAGAATCTATGCAGTTTTGGAGAAGGAAAAGGAGGAGAAGGAGACGGAGAAGGAGAAGGAGAAGGAGAAGGAGAAGGAGAAGGAGAAGGAGAAGGAGAAGGAGAAGGAGAAGGAGAAGGAGAAGGAGAAGGAGAAGGAGAAGGAGAAGGAGAAGGAGAAGGAGAAGGAGAAGGAGAAGGAGAAGGAGAAGGAGAAGGAGAAGGAGAAGGAGAAGGAGAAGGAGAAGGAGAAGGAGAAGGAGAAGGAGAAGGAGGAGAAGGAGAAGGAGGAGAAGGAGAAGGAGAAGACGAAGACGAAGACGAAGACGAAGAAGAAGGCAAGAGGTCCAGTACATGGCGGTGGGAAACACAGTTATTGTATTTGAGTTTATATGTTTTATGTATATGTTTTTGTTATAGTTATAAAAAATAAAAAATATTAAAAAAAATGTGTAACAACTTCCTATGGAACGCCTTATATGCTCCCTCTCTGGTCAGTAATTTTTATATGTAACTTAATTGATTTAATGCTTTCTACTTAAAAAGGACTCAAGGCAACTTACATTAGTAAAAAGAGGTGGGTGATGCTGGCCAAAAAATAGTGCCAAAATAATGCCAGCTGTCTAGCATGAGCAGAGAGCCGGGTGTGATGGACAGAATGAAAGAGTAGGACTCAGGAGATGTGGCTTCAAATCCCCGCTCAGCTACGGGAACTCCCTTGGGAGAAAAAGCAATGGAAAAGCCACTCCCTGGATATCTTATATACCCTGAAAACCCTATTAATGTTGCCACAAGCTAAATGAAACCTAATTTAACATAACAGAACAGTATGAGAATAAAATCCAGTTTGCAATTTTCTGAATTTCTATAGCATTACATTATTTTACAGAAGCTCTATCTTCCTCGTTTCAATATTCTGCTTTCCTTCTGCGTAAATATTCACTTGACTGTGCTTTTCTCAATGCACTTCAACACTGCTGTTGCGAAAGACTCTGAGCTAATTAGCATTTGTGTAAGTGTATAGCTGAAACTATACTGGACTAAATGTCAAGGGCAACCTTTACCTATAGCTGAAAGATGGAAGCAAGACTCATTTCCTAATGCAAATCAATAGTGACACCAACTGGATAAATTTTAAATTGCTTTTCTCCATCTCTGGCAAAAGCAGACTTTGCTTCAGAGAAACCCATCCACCAGTTTGAGGACTACACAGTGCCCAGGTTAGAACACTTTTGACAGGGTTTTAGTCTAACATTTCGCCAGAGGTCCTAGGCTTTTCTAGATAGTGGATGGTTATGTATTGGTTGAACATGGAAGAATTTTCAAGCAAGTGAAGAGCCAATGTCAGAACCAGCAGAGCTCTGACACAGAACTACCCCATAAATGAGAATTAATATTTGCTATTTCCGAAGCAGATTTTGCTCCAAGAAAGCTCACATGGGAACAAATTTGTTAGACTTTAAATGCCACAATATCTTGTTCCCTGGACTGCATTTTTTCCCAGCATGCTGAAACTAGCTACCTCTTTGGAAACCCTTGCTATCAATCAATGTATGGTGAGAAAGATCTTCCATAATTCCATTACAGCACTGTTAATGTGCTGTCCAGCTGAGTCTGATTTACAGTGACTCTAGTAGGGTTTTCAAGGCATGTGAAATATTTAAGGGGTGGATTTAAAAGTGCCAACCAACAAAAACAAAAAAATTATTCTACAGCCAAATACAATATAAGCACAATATAAATTCACAAAATAAATTTTAAAAATTTAAAATTAGTTGAATATCAGGATTCTCTAAAAAAATTTAAAATTACGTAGTTGAATATCAGGATTCTCTTTCCTGTTTTCTGGGCAGAGAGAAGGAATTTAGCCACAAATTCTGACTTGTTTGTATCTTCTAAAAGGTATTTTGCATACCAGTTCAATTATCTTCCCGGAAAGCTTCTCATTAAGGGGTGTAGGAGCCTGGCATGATCAACCCGGTAACAACTACAGTACATGTAAAGAGAACATGTTGCCAACCCCAGTGAGCATTCATGGCCAAATTAAGATTTTAATGCTGGTCAAATCCAGCACTCTATCCACTACAGAACACCGATTCTGACCACAGCTCTTTTCTGCCATTCCTTTCTACACCCACATCAACCCACAACCCTCCAACCCCAGTGAGCATTCATGGTCAAATTAAGATTTTAATGCTGGTCAAATCCAGCACTCTATCCACTACAGAACACTGATTCTGACCACAGCTCTTTTCTGCCATTCCTTTCTACACCCACATCAACCCACAACCCACAGTACTTCAAATGCGTAAAAATACACACAATGTATTCTCGAAGGCTTTCACGGCCAGGATCTGATTTCTACTACACAAGATTTCTTCAACAAGACTTGCAATGTTGTGAAATAAAGGAAGTTTACTGAAAAGCCAAAACTGCAGTGCATAACAGGAGGGGGGAGCACGAAGGCCATCAGACGTTCATGAGATTCAGCTCCCATTAATCCTCCCCATTAACTAGATTGACCTGGGCCGATAAGAGATGTAGTCCCAACATTCAAAGTCTGCACATATACACAGAAAAACAAAACAACCTAGGAAACTACTTTGTGCCCAGTTAAATTAAGTTAATACAGGACCATGTGGTCTACTTTAACTGGCAGGGGTTCTCCAGTCCTAGAAAGAGACCTCTCCCATCACCTGCTACCTGAGTAGTAGCCTCAGTACCTCAGAACAACTAGCTCATAAGGTAAGTTAGGCTAAGACATTAGTTAAGAACATGATTTCTTTCTTTCCCTCTCTGTCTGTGTGTGTGTGTGTGTGTGTGTGTGTTTAAAAATTGCTATTTCTATACTGAGAGATGGCGGCTGGTTTACAGCCAAGTGGAGACCGGAACACGGGTCCTCCTCACCATTAGTCCAATATGCTAATCATGGCACTACACTGGCTCATTATCCACCTGTTATCACACACAATGTCAAATGCATAAATATACAAGCATCCTTTCCAGGGAAGACACACTTCATTCATATGAGGAGAAAAACAATCAAGAAGAGATTTCATGGCCTTCTTCAAATATGACTGGATAGTCATCTGTCAGGGGCCATGTAGCAATAGATTTCCTGAATCAGATGTGAGCTGGATCTGGCAATCTTTGAGGTACCTTTCAGCTGCAAAATAAAAACCACTTACTGCAACACACTCCCTAGTTGTTTCATGCCCATCTCTTAGCCCTTTTTAGTTTCTTATTCTCTAAATCTGGGCTTGGCAGTTCTGGATCAGCTCGGTGATTCATAGTAGACCAGAAAGGATTTCTGACAACCAACTGTTTAAAAATAGCTGCAACGGAAGGACTCCCATCCCAATTTCTACTGCTGAAATGAAGAAAATTTGGGGTATCTAGGAGTGGATTTTCACATCAATGATCTGTGAGCTCTATTTAGTTCTGGGACTTAAAACAACTTTATGGAATTCTCTCAACCATATATATGATATACAGAGTTACAGACTTCAAATGATCACAATAAAACTACATCATTAATCTTTCGAGACATTATGAGACTCTGTTGTCAGAATAACACTGCTACTCCTTTGGGAATTCATTCTTGGGATGTCGTCCATGAGAAGACCAGTGGCATCAAAAACAAAGCACATCTGGTAAGCTTTTGGTCTGCTCACCCCTAAACACAGCCCACATCCTTCAGTCCCCACCAACATGTCATAACTCCTGGAAGAAACACACCTGTGTTCTGCCTGTGTTACCTGTGTTAGGCATCACTCATTCCTTCAGACTGTAGGTGCATTCGACCTTACGACGGCTGGTCTTCCGACCTTGCAGCACAGAGGCTTCTGCAGTTTAACCCACAGCTCCACCACGTTCGGGCTGTATATAACCCTGGTTGAGGGGCCTAACACCGAGAGAGGTCTGGAAAGAAAACAAGAAACCAGGCCTTCTCGGCAGTGGCCCCTCGACTATGGAACACCCTTCCAACAGAGATCCGCCTGGCTCCCTCGCTGGGTGTTTTTAAGAGCCATTTAAAGACTTGGCTCTTTAGGCAGGCCTTCCCTCCTGTCAATTCTTGAAATCTGTATTTTTGCTTTCTATTATTCCCATTTTGAATATTCCATCTTAGTGATTCAGTTGTTTAATGTTTGATGTCTTTATATTTTTTATGATATTTTGATACAGTATTTGTAAGCCACCCCGAGTAGACACTGTCTAGGGGGGTGAGGTGGAAATCTAATGAATAAATACTGTAAATAAAAAATAGTAATTTCCAGTTAATGTGTTGCAGCCAAAAACAGCCACAGAGCCCTGTGGCACCTTAAAAATATGAAGCACAAAAGCAGAGGCACAAAGTGCTATCCACACACGTGCAAACACACACAGACCAAGAGGGTGAGCTTGAAGAACCGCGACGGTGGACGAGAGGGGCAACGACATTATTAACATTCACCCAATGTGTTGCACCTTGTTGCTTTCCGTGCAAGAGATTATCCATCCTAGCCTCCCGTTTGGAAACAAAAAAGAACCACCCTCAGGAACGACGTTCCCATAAGCCGAACAACTGTCTCCGGACCACAGACCCGCGGTGACCATTTTAAAAACCCAGGAAAAGACCAAGCCCGCCCGCCCCACCGAGAGGAGACACCGGACCCTCCTCTGAAAAGCAACGTTTCCGACGACTACTCTGTGAGGGGAAGTTATCACAGGCGGGAAACTCCTTGGGGACGACCCGTTCCGTCCCTGGCCAAGCATCACCCCCCCTCTCCCGACCCCCTTTCTCTACGTCTTCACAGCTACCCCCCGCAACCTCTTACCAAGGAAAAGAAGCCATCTTGTTCCCTTCACGTGACTCCTCCGCCCCGTTCCTTTCTCTCCGCCTCACGCGGTAGCCGAAGCGGCCATGATTGAGAAGGGCAGGCGGCCGGATGGTTTGCCCGCTTCCTTTCATTACAGGCATCCTTCACTGAATTAGCCACAGATTTGTTTTAAACTTAAAGACACCCAAGCATTTTCAAAGTTAAAATAACATAAAAAATACTAGGCCAAGAGGGCATCTATCCTTTTTTTTAAAAGGGGGGAAGGGACAATTGTTCCCACCCATAAAACAGGGCTTCTTCCCCCATGAAGGGAAAAAAAGACAAGCAAGCCCTGACAGATTTTAGATAAACATAAAGCAAAATAAAATTATGTTTTAAAATCAAATAAAAGTAAATATGGAGAAAGGACCCCCCTCCATAGAAAAGCCCCCAATCCAAATAGATACACCAAAACATTTTTTAAATCAAATAAAAATAAATATGGAGAAAGGACCCCCCCTCCATAGAAAAGCCCCCAATCTAAATAGATACACCAAAACATTTGTGTGTGTGTGTGTGTGTCACACACAGACACTTTAAAGAGGAAAAAGACAGACCACTAAGCCCCTGAGATTTCAAATAAAACTAAAAGTCCTCTAAAACAACCAAACAACCCTCTCAATAGGACACACACACACCCAAAAAATCCACACAACCCTCTGAATTAAAACAGCCGCGAGGTAGGGACACTTTGGTTTAACTGGCCGAAGCGCCCGTGCCAAGATGTGCCCCCCATGGGGGGGGGTACTGGCCACCAGGCTAGCTCTGCCAGAGGGATCCCAATCCGCCCTCGCCTAGGCAGGCTGTGATCCACTCATGATTTCCCGGGAAATATCATTATTGTGCTGCTCCTGAGGGCAGGAGTGGGTGCCAAGAGCTGAGGGCCACGTCTGCCTTTATTTCTGCCAGAATTAAACCCAATGGCCTCCTCAAACGGGCCCCCACTTTCCCTCACCTGCCAGTGGGCCGCAGTGCCTCCATCAAAAACCATGGCAATCAGTGGGGATGGGCTGTGCTCCCCCACCTTCCTTAAGAAACATCTGGGGCCTGGACAGGTGCGGGAGACCCAATTTTTATATGATTTCTTGGAAACTATCTCGAGTTATGTGTGTATGTGTTGCTGTTCTTTTTTATTTCTTTGCAATAATTACTGTAATAATTCTTTTTGTCTCTACCTGTAAATTACTCAGAAGCTGCATTTAGGATTGGCCCATATTTGTTGCCTTTTATTTTTGCTTCTTCTCTCATGAACAACAAATATTTCATCAAAGCTCTTCTCTTCTTTTGACCACAGGAATAGTCAAGATATCAACTTACAGTCTCTCCTCTCCTATAAACAAAAAAACCCTCAATATATACCTCCATAGATCCCTCCAATGCCTTGGTAAGGCACAGAGGTTCCTTCTTTGGGTTTTGATCAGAAAAAAAGAAAACATTGTAGTAGGCTTTTATGTCAATCAAACAGGAGGCTGACTACAGCTGACCCACTAAAATGCTGATAATTTAATTGACTAGTTTACTTTATTTCTCCCCTTCTTTTGCTCAATAACTGAGACCCAAGGTGGCTTACACTATAATTGAAATTACATAGTTCAACAAACCAAGCACACTTGAAAGACTGAAAGATTTATTGTGCAATAATCTTAAAGGAAAAAAGAGCAACACAAGTGAAAACAAAGGTATAAAAATACTGTATGCTTCATGATATATTGCATTCCACACAAAATAAAAAAGTGGACCAAGAAATAAGTTAATAAATAAATACAAAGCACAAGAAATTACAAAAGAGATCCTGGCACTTATAAATAGAAGGCCTTGACATTTAAACATTTTAACACTTGACATTTTAGTACAGTCTGTAAAATAAAAAAAGTATCCTCAGAATACTTTAAAGAAGCCATTGGCTTATATTTAAAAACTTGTTTCTACTTATACAGTATACAGTCTACTCCTAAGTTAACACAGCAGCACACAACAAACAAGCTTTAGCATTTTTAGCACTGACACATCAAGAAAATTGTAGGCTATTTCTAATCCTAAAGGCAACATCTACAAGTTAAGATGCATTTTAACATGTTGGCATTTACTTCATACCTTTAAGGAAAATATTCAAGTCATGCAATGAGAACCAAAAGTAAAATCTAAAAACTCTTTAGGAATCAAATAAATTAGTTACTTGAGAACATGCTTGCACTATGTTGTTATAAGTTAGCTAAAATGAGCCTTTTAACACACAGCCTGCAAAAGCTCATGAAAATCAACAAGAATAAACTGGTTTATCTTAGTTTGCTGTGAATGAGCAACTAATTCACTCTTATCTTCAGTCCTCTTCTCATAAACCCAGGTAGTATACAGAAGTTTGCATTTCATGTTTGATTTATTGGTTTGCATGAAGCAAGCTGCAAACAAGCTGTCTACAGCAGCATGCTTGCTAGACCAAAAGAAACTTAGGTAAAAAAGATATTTTGGTTTATTTTGTTAAGAGATACTACTACGCCACAGAATTGCTCAGGAGTTTTTAAAATCTGTACCATGCTCTACTTGCACTGATTTTGCTATATCCTCCTCCTGAATATCAGTTTAAAATTCTGTATGATATTTTAAAAAGTGTTAGAAGATCTATATAATGGAGATTTACAGCTATCTCATATACATTAAGAGGTATTAACTTCCCCAGTTTCTTCACTGAATTTTAATTTTTCGGTTTTTGCTGAGTAAGAGTTTGAACCAAAAGTGTAACAATGCCAGGTACAAAACTAAAATGTAGCACATTAACAAAATGTTACATTAACAATTTAGCTTTCATATAATTATGTTCTCTAAGCACTGAATATGTTACTCACAAACAGAACTGTTGACTAACATCAACTGGCAAATTACTTAAACATTCCTCAACCTGGCTTTGTTTTATTAAATCTTTTAAATCCATTCTATGGTCCAAATAATTAACCTCTATCTAAAGCAGCATTAGGCATAGGTAACATAAACAAGTTTCTTTTCTTGCACCGGCTTTGTTAATGTCAGAATGTAGCTTTCTGGGAAATCTTGGAAGATTTAAGGCTAATGTCATTTTACAAAATTTGCTGGATGTTAAATGAAGATGATATAACATAACTTTTTGTAATATTAGCATGAAGAAACCAGAAAGGATTTGGCTATAGTCCTCTCCAGTGAGAAAAGAACTGTGGGTATCCTCTCCACCAGATATCTAAAGCTTAGGTGTAATGAATTAAAAATATACAAATGATACCCATTTAAAAAATAATAATGTGGGCCAAAGAAGCCTCTGAAATGAGTTGTTGCTACATTTTTATTCCCACTTTGCACTTTTTGGAAGGGTGGGGACTGTCAACAATAAACTTGGATGATGCCTTACCCACAAACGACACAGACTAGTTTCCCTTTCAAATTTGCCTGCTGAGTGGTAACTTTTAAAGGACATTTATCTGACAATGTGGAAAGCAAGACCATGTCAGGAGAAATGAAAAATCAACACATGCTGCAAGACTAATATCATTATCCACAAAAGATATAAGTCAGTATACCTGCAATGAATGCCAAAACCACAAAAGATATATTAAGTCAGTATACCTGCAATGAATGCCAAAAATTAGCCCTCCTGGTTTACTAGCACTGACGTGATTAAGAGCAAGACTGTGTATGTTTGATGCAAAGCAGCCATAGGTGTGAATCCAGGTGCAGCTGAGACTGAGTGGTTTTCCTTTTTGAAACATTTGAAATAAATACAGTTATACAGACAGCTATTAATATAAATATTCATTTTAAGAGTCTTTATTGCACACTGTGAAGTGTGAGTTAGGCTCCAGTTTGTTGACTTATTCCCATAAAATCAAATACCAATTTTCCTGAGAGTTACAATGCATATTATTGTCTTAGAGATAATAAAAAACACTTATGAGATGACTGAAACATGCAGAATACAAAGTTAGTCCGAATTCATTGGGCTGTAATTCTTTTCATTCCACCCGCCATCTCTTAGAAATCTGAACAGTATAAGACAGCATACGCTGCAGGTGGGTGGGTAACAGCAGGAAGACCGGAATGAATGGTGAACAAGCCAAGCATCCTTTTAGCCCAATGAATGCTGCCTTCTTAAGTTGTCACAACATTTGGCTTCTTTCTTTGGATTCTTCCTGCATATACTCCTAAAAGGCAAAAGAGAGAAGGATTTTCTTATTTGAAACACTACTGATTTAAAATATTTACTGTGCATTGCAAGCAAGCAGTATTCAAGCAGGCACAGAATAGTTCCTGATGAACTATTCCTTTTCCGAGCTGTATTTTAAAACAATAAGCATCGAATAAGCTTTGAAGTGCTTATGGAAACAAACCAAGGCTATGTGCATACATTCTTGGAACTGAATAAAACCCCACTGGAGGACCGAGTCCCATCTCCTTTGCTGCCAAAGCATGAGATAGCTGCTGCTTTGGGTGACTTAGTAACTGAACCTGAGAGCGGGTCATGAAGGCCTTATCATACAGAACAAGAAGCAAGAAGGTTTGAAAGTATCTTCTACGTAACATGTGCCTTCATACTTTCAGACATCACAACAAACACACCGGAATGTTTCATACCAGGAACAAGATTTCACATGCCTCAGTCCTAGCCATTATTACCACATCAATCCTTCTCCTTACTTTTTTTAAAATGTGATTTATCACCTGCCTTTTCTCCAAAATCAACTCAAGAAAACTCACAAAATTAAAAACCAACACAGATAAAGGCACCAAATGTTGTAAAGCACAACTGAACTTCAGCCCAGAGAGATCAGAAGCTTAAACACCATTTAACTTTATAACTGGATCTTAAGCTGTAGTTACCCTTCACTATGGCTTGTTTGATACAAGATACAGTACTAGCTTCTCAATTCATGGTTTATAGATGACTCCCTTGTGGCACAGCGGTTAGATCGCAGTGAAGACAATATTCATAACCTGAGTTTGATGCTGGATTCAGGTCGCTGGCTCAATTTTCCATCCTGCCAAGATTGGAAAATTGAGTACCCAGCTGGCAATGTGTTGCCAGCATAATTAAATTGTAAACCACGCAGAGTTTTAAGCACGATGGGGCATTATATAAGTAGCAGACTTTGCTTTTTTTGCTTTGCTTGTTTCAAAAGAAACTATTGCTAAGATTAATTTTTGTCTTTGGATGTCACAATAATTAAAAAGAGAGCAAACATATGACCTGTCTACATTTATTACGATGATGATGAACATGTAAATGCAGCCATAAATAACAGAAAACACCTAAAAAATTTAGCTTGCCAAACTGGAGCGACACCCAGAAACATCCTTTTAAATATCTGTATGCTACAGTGCTGAAGTAAGAGCGAGAGAGGATAGCTCACCACCACGCAAGTGGGCAAAGACCCAAGTGACTTAGGAGCTTGAGCTGATGTTGTATTAACTTTTTCATTAGCCAGTGATGTTGAGGAGAGAGAGGATAGCTCACCACCACGCAAGGGGGCAAAGACCCAAGTGACTTATGAGCTTGAGCTGATGGTGTATTAACTTTTTCTAACTTTTTCATTAGCCAGTGATGTTGAGGAGAAGACAAGATGTCAGGAAATATTGGAAGCAAAAATTAACCAAGAAAATCAACTTTTCCCCTTGTAGAACAAAAAGTCATGTAGAGAAAATGCCAGCCAGTGGCTGAGAACACCCTTTGCATGCCAGTTAAATTCTAAACATCACTAATTCAACAAATCTCTCACTTAGGATGTGATCCACTGCTAAAATGTGCACTGGGCTATTCAGGGACAAATTGTCTGACCTGACATTAGGCAGTTTTTTATGTATCATTGGCAGGAATAGGAAGAAAGTTCACAAAAGAAAAAATATACTGACCTGAATCATATGGTATAGTTACACTTGCATAAGCATAATAGCATAAATCGTGGTGGCAATGATACAGTGAACACAATTACACTTATGCCAGCATTAATTCCTCAATAGGATCCTGACAAATGTAGACAGAACCTACATTTGCTGTGGCCACTTCAGTTTTGCTGGCTATAATCTAAAGTTATTTGCACTGAACCACTGCATGTCACATAGGATGTAATTACAGAGGATTTGGGCAGATTTTCAGGTCTCTGCAGAAAGCATCATTCAACCTACAGTTTTTAGCATCACTCCACAGAGATTGGCGCTGTTGTAGGAAGACTGATAAGCAGTGAGCAACCTGTCTTTTACGGAAACCTGCCATTTCTAACCTGCTCTCGAAAAAACTCCTGACAACTCTACAACACGCTTTTAGGGCCACTGATGAAAGGTAAGAATAATGTCAAGTTCTTCAGCTTTTATCAAATTCAGCATTATCAATGAAATCCCCCTTGGGTCCTTTTAAGGTGAAAGGCAGGGTAAAAATATTTTAAGTAAAATGAAATGAAATAAAATAAAATAAATAAGAGCTTCTCTTACAGTTTACGGAATACTCAATGTGGCTTAAGAGCTTACAGTTTACGGAATACTCAATGTGGCTGCTAAAGTATTTTTTCAGCTTTTAGCATGATACTAGCCACCAAGATATGCCACAATTTCTCCAGCATGTTCACTTGTGTGGAGCAGTCATGCACAACAATGTGAGGAACATGTGCGTATTTCAGGCAGGATATTATTAAACATGAAAGAGCACCCCACCCAAGCCCCTTAATATTCAGGCATCCCATGAGTTTACCTGCAGATCATCTTACTGTGTTTATTCCAGGTTTCGATGATCTGCAGATGATCTGCTCCATTTCTGAAGCTCTTTGAAGTGTGATTATGCTGAGTAGTGCAAGTGGATTAAAATGAAACTAAGTCGCCTATTCATGCAATTGATGATCATAACCTTTTTAAAATTATTGGTAGTAATTCTAGTCAGTGTTAGTATAGCAGAACTAGAGCCCAGCTAGTGCGGCAAGAGGGAAAACATGTGCTACGTTAGCCTTTTTTTAAATACGAGCAACTTACTCTTTTCTTGTTACCCATTTTTTACACACCTGAAAGGACCTTGTTAGACACTCTGCTTTCTGAGGGCTTCTTTCTATTTTGCTCAGCCCCCTTCACTGAGGTCTTAGGGGTTCTAATTGAACATAAAAGAAATTAATAAGTCACTTGCATTTAAACTAAAATGAAGTTCCAAAAATAAAAATAACACAAAAAGGTTTTTGCCAGACTATTCCACAGCAATATAACAGAAACTTGTCAAAACACACTATTATTAATTTTCCATGAGTAACATCAGAAAGTAACAATATTAAAAACAGTGAGTTGATTTGCAGGTTGGTGGTATATGACCACACTTGAGGCTCACATATCCTCTCTCCCACATTCATGCTGTTTTCATCCTGCTTGTATGAAGCTGGCTCTGGGGAAAGGGCCATTGCCCATCAGTAAAACATGCAGATCCAGAAGGTCCCAGTGTCAATCCCCAATATCACCTAAGATAGACCCCTGATTAAAATCCCAGAAAGCAGCTCCTTGTCACTGTTTACTGGGATGGGTAAATCCGGCAGGGTTGCAACCCCACCCACTTGGCAGGACCCACTTGGGCTGCTCTAACACTGCCTCCCAATAAAACCCAAAGATACTGGAAGCACACAGCCGATTATTTTTTAAAAACTATTATTTTGTGTAAGGTAAAGGTAAAGGTTCCCCTGTCTAACACTGCCTCCCAATGAAACCCAAAGATACTGGAAGCACACAGCCAATTATTTTTAAAAACTATTACTTTGTGTAAGATAAAGGTTCCCCTTGACATTTTTAGTCCAGCTGTGTCCGGCTCTAGGGGGTGGTGCTCATCCCATTTTCAAGCTGTAGAGCCAGCGCTTGTCCGAAGACAGTTTCTGTGGTCATATCGCCAGCACGACTAGACACGGAACACCATTACCTTCCCATGGAGGTGGTCCCTATTTATCTACTCGCATTTGCATGCTTTCGAACTGCTAGGTTGGCGAGGAGCTGGGACAAGCAACAGGAGCTCACTCCATCGCTTGGATTCGATCTTACAACTGCTGGTCTTCTGACCCTGCAGCACAGAGGCTTCTGCGGTTTAGCCCGCAGTGCCACCCGTGTGTAATTCCATTCAAATCTGCAATGCAAAGTAAAGCTTCATCCTGATGGACAATCCAAATCTGGAAGGGTCAAGTAAGTGCAGTTTCTTAGTTGGAGGGGAAACGAGAGGAATCAATTTAAAAGAAACCACAATAGGGAAGCACGCAGGCTTCAGGACTGTTCATGTCAACTCCAAACAACGTATACCTTGCTTGTTTAAAAAAATATATGCTCAGTACAAGTAAGGTGCCCACAGGATCTTTATCAGCCGACTGGAAAGGGGAAATATTAGAAAAACAGATTTTACCTTATATAGTGTTACGTATGAAACTTAAGGGAAGGGGGAAAGCCCACAATGGCCACAATCCTGTTTGTAATTTACACATGTGCAGGTAAACCTAAGTAACTCACTGCCTGTAATTCTCCAGCTTATTAAATCAACTAAGAGGACCAAGCAAAGGCCACCTAATGTAGGTAGAAGTGCTCCACTTATTACATTACCAGCAATTTAGCCAAGAAATATAGTCATCATGTGAGCCTTCTGTGGCCATTGTTAGCATTGAGGGCAGGGGTGGGGTGGGGGACAAACACAGCAACACTTCTTGTAGCAGATTTTAGGCCGGTCCCCTCAACTGCATATGTACTGTCTTGAATGTGCCATGATGGTGATGCTAATCTCATCAAAAAGCTTTTCCCTTTTGAAAACTGCCACATCACGCAGTGCCTCTGAAACCAGGAAGCATCTGCCCAGACAGCAGCAGCTGCAACCAGATTCCGAATGTTTGAGAAACACAATTTCAAAAGGAAAAAAAATATTGCCAGCACTGTGATTATGTGGATTATGTCTCTTTGTTTTTAAGTGCTATACTTCCACTAAAGAAAATAATACCACTCTTACCCTTGTCTGGAAAGGAGTCTTTGAATCGGAGCATTCTGGCCTTGATTTGGCTGAAGAACTCTGAAAAGAAAAAAATTACAGTCATGCACACTCCATCGCGACAGAGCAGTGGACATCACAAAAGGTAACAATTATAGATTTTTTAAAATTACAAAAAATAGTAATAATTTTTATAGACCTGTTCTCTAGGGTTTTTTGCTTCACAATCATTTTTTTATTTGGCATTCCCATTTCAGAAGCCCTGAAAGGCAAAACACACAGTTATATGCAAATATGCCTTGGGAAAGAAGAAAGAAGAATATCAAGCAAGTGTTTTAGTATATATACATGTAAGACATATAATGAGTAACATTATTATTTTTCCTCCACAGTGGTATCTTGGAAACTTTGCAGTACAGGGCATCAAGCAGTGGGAAAGAAGTCATGTTGCACATGGGCGTTGTGAACGAAGATAACTCTTGGTTCCAGAAATTAAGACACAATGGGATACCTGCAACAAATGCTAGCCAGGGTCTCCTGGTTTCAAGCGGGCTGCAAAACTTCAGTAACAGGAAATTCTGGCTAGAGTCGCAGTAGACATTAGATGGCCTTCAGACTACAGAATACACCAGTGTGTGGCCCATGAAGTCTCTAGAGTACCTCTCCCGTAAAAAGTCTTTTACTTTAAATATGAAAAATTGTATGCCAGGAAACACGATTCTACTTTAAACAAGCTGTACAACTCCAGCATGCCTTAGTTTTCTTTTTGAAGGTTAAAATTAAGGTTGTTGCTTAGGGTTGATTTTAACTGCGCTTCAATGTCTGGCCATTTTCTGTTTTAGCAAGGGGAACGGTACAGCCACTGGTAGGTAAAAAGGTGGAAAATTAACTCTCTCCTGAGGTAAAAGGATACTCATTAGGAGAGAAATCCTATTGTACTGAATTTCCACCAGTATCAACCAACAGGTCAGAGGAAAAGCAGAGAAAGAATACTCAATTTCTGTCTCCTGAACATATCCAAAAATGATTTTACACAGTAGATTTTTGCCTGTCTAAATCGCTTAGGACAGAGGTCCCCAACTGCCGGTCCATGGCCCGGTGGTGGTCCGTGGCCCGAGCCAGACTGGGACGTGGAGACAGACCATCCCCCAATCCTTGCCCACACTCCCCCCCGCACAGTCCTTTTGTGCATGCGCACATGCACCTGTCCCCTCACGAGCATTCCCCACCCCTTAGCTCAAGCACACGAGGGCCCCCCCAAGCGCCGAGTGTCCTTTGCGCATGCGGTCGAGCACACACGCCCCCGCACAAGCATCCTCCCACTCCTTTGCACATGCGCAGGTACATGCGCCTGCATGAGCGCCCTCCCACTCCTTCCCCAACCAGTCCGCGGGGTTAAAAAGCTTGTGGACCACTGGCTTAGAGACAACCATGCACTCAAATAACTGCAAATGAACAAAGAATAACAACAAAAAAGGAAATCATATTAAGTTCCATATAAAGATAATGCAGTCAGCTGACATTCAGGCACCACGTTTATATAGATCATGAAACATACACATTAAATACCTACCTCTATTTCGCAATGACAGACAAATCTAAAAAACATATTACTCTGCGAAGGAAAACACTAGCCATGTGCATTTGAATGCAGATGCATTTCCTTTACCATTTCCCAACATACTTCATGTATTTCTTCCTGTCCAGAGACTTCTGGGTAGCCGTAGACAGCGTCACTTTTTCTCTTGAAGACTTTGCCTTATCCTACACAAGATAAGTGTATATGCTCTTAATTAAAAGTAGTAACACTTTATGCTGAGTGAGAAAAATAAAACATTGTGCCATCTTAAAAAAACCCCACAAAATTATAAGCAGCACATCTACATAAGTACTTCAACATAATCAAATTTGATTTCCTTCTCATATTAACACAAACTTGTGCTGATAGGGAGTTTGTTGGGTACAGATCTGCCATATTTTGACTCTGTCCACAGCCACAGATGTACTCCATTCTCCGCTATATGGAGGGAATAAAAAAAACCCCTCTCTTCCTACTACAGAGACAGCTATTCATCCCACACATTGAAAAAAGCCTGCAGAATTTTGTGTCTAGGGTTTCTAGGTAAAGGTAAAGCTTCCCCTTGACAATTTTTGTCCAGTCGTGTTCGACTCTAGGGGGCGGTGCTCATCCCCGTTTCCAAGCCATAGAGCCAGCGTTTTGTCCAAAGACAAACTTCCGTGGTCACGTGGCTAGTGCGACTTAGACACGGAATGCTGTTTACCTTCCCACCAAGGGGGTCCCTATTTATCTACTTGCATTTGCATGCTTTTGAACCGCTAGGTTGGCGGGAGCTGGGACAAGCGACGGGCACTCACTCCATCACGTGGATTCGATCTTATGACTGCTTGGTCTTCTGACCCTGCAGCACAGGCTTCTGCGGTTTAGCCCGCAGCGCCACCACATCCCTTTAGGGTTTCTACTTCACAGTAATTAGTCATTTGAGCTCGTCAAGAAAAATCCACATCTTACTGCAAATACTAGCACTTAGCACTGAAACAAAGCACCACTGCAACACACCAGTTGCCGGAGCATTTTCTCTTTGCGAACTTCTCGATCATGATGTAGGATGCCCATGCGCTCAGACACATCAATTTTGAAGAAAATATCGTGAATATCATATAATGCAGCTCGCAGCTGAAAACCGGAAAAAGAATAAGAAATCGATGAAAGGCAACTGCAAGTAAATATTTCAAGTGCTGCCCCTTTAGTATTTTCAGACAAAAAACTTTACCCCATGAAGCCCAGTTGTCATAGGGCTCAAGATGAGCAAATATCTAAGAGTCTGAAGGAAGGCTAATGACAAGACAAAATAACTTAATTTTTGGACTCCTGAAGATAGGATCCTGATACATAGTTCTGTGTGCAAGATGGGAGCCAATTTTGTACCCCCACTGGGAAGCCATTAAAGATTTAAATATATAGAAGGAAAGAGAAAGCTACCTAGTGTAAGAGCTCTTTGCTGTTTCGAAGCTTTCATGTTACCACAACACTCTCAATTAAGACTTTACCAAACTGTGGTTAAAAAAAACCACAAACTGGCTGCAACTTCACTGGGGTCCAGTTTTTTGCTGTGATTTCATTTGCACTGAACTCGCAGTCAGTGATTGCACAAGGGCTGTGGACTGATTGAGGAGTTCAGTGTTCATACAGCCCCCCCTTTCTTTCCTTCTGCCTCTGTCAATCTTTTTATGGTTTTGAAAAGGTTGTACAGTGTTCCAGAAAAAGTGGCAGCATCCTAATGTGTATGGAAATACAGTACTACATCCACAGGAAGGTCTTTTATTTCATCCGGGTTGCTTCTGTTTTGTTATAATTTTTCTTCCTTTTTTTCTTGTTCAGAGGTGATCTAGTGCTGAACTAGCATGTCAGTACTAGTGATAAGGTGATCTAGTGCTAATCTGATATATGTCACAAAAATTTAAAAATTCAGAGGATGATTGGGGGAAAAGAACACAGGGCAGGTGTTCCCGTACTCATGAACAACACATTCCAACTGAAAACACCACACACGCTGTCTTACAAGAACAAATCAACTGATCACATGGGAAAGAGTCAGTTTGAATTTTTCTGGCTTGGAAAAAGTAGAAGACCCCAGCACCAGAGGGAAAAAAAAAGCCAGGATGGGAGCAAAAAGAGCTGGACTGGTTTAAATTCGCCTTTGCATTGTTTGATTACAAGATATCTCGAATCAAACCATACTATAACTGCAGCAAATCCTATGGTGTTTGATGGTGTAGTCACAGACTACACTTTGCCCCAATGTCCAATTTCCCAGGAGATTGTGTACAATTTGCCAATTAAAAAAAAACACACTGTGAACCACAATTAAATATAGGCTTTGTATGGCAAAGTTTGAAAGCTCAAACCGCTGTTTTAAAATGTAATTTTACATAATATGTGTGGAAAAAGGGGCCGGGGGAGGAAGAGAAGCAAATGCAGGAGCAGAAACCAAGGAAACTTTGACGAGCACAAAAATATTATTTTTAAATGCCTGAGCTGCACACTAATAGCATTGTAAAATATTGTTTGGAAAATGCAATGCTTTGTTTTACAGTGCCCTGGATGAACGTTTTGAATGAAATCAAAGTATCTTGGTTTTAGTGTTTTCATATTTTGATGAACAAAGGGGTTTCCACTTCTCCTCTCCCTTGATGTATAATGAGCCAATGTAGAAGTTAAAGTCAAAATTTTAAACATTGGATTTTGTCAGGAGACACTCACATAGGTTTAAATGCTTTAGAGACTATACATCACCTGAGCAGCAACCCGATCTTGCAAGTTAGCATCTTGAGCTGAAACATTTCCTCTCTTTAATGGAGCTTCTGACTGGAAGTTTTTAATGAACTCCATTGTATCCTAAAAACACATACAAAAACCCACATTAGTATCTAACTCAGCAAAATTAGTGTGTGTGTGTGTGTTGTTTGAAATGTGCTGTTGAATTAATTGTGAAAGTAGCATATACCCTGTTTCCCTGAAAGTAAGACCTAACCTGAAAATAAGCCCTAGTATGATTTTTCAGGATGCTCTTAATATAAGCCCTACCCCCAAAATAAGCCCTAGTTAAGTGAAACCCTGCCCTCCATCGTTGTGCAGCAACCAGAAGATGCAACCAAGATGACATGACTGTATTTGAATAAATGTAGATTGTTGTACATAAAAAAATTTAAACATCCCCTGAATATAAGCTCTAACACATTTTTAGAGCAAAAATCAATACAAGACCCTATCTTATTTTCGGGGAAACACGGTGTGTGGAAACACGGTGTGTGTGTGTGTGTGTGTCTCTCTCTGTATATATATATATATAAAGAAAACACTGAGGGAAGACCAGCATGGCTTCTGTAAGGGTAGGTCTTGCCTCACAAACCTTTCAGAATTCTTTGGAAATGTCAACAAGTATGTGGATGCGAGCGAACCAGTGGGTATTGTCTATCTGGATTTTCAGAAGGCATTTGACATGGTCCCTCACCAAAGGCTGCTGAGAAAACTCCACCGTCAGGGGACAAGAAGGCAGGTCCTCTTATGGATTGAGAGGTGGTTGTGAACCAGGAAACAGAGAGTGGATATCACTGGACAATTTTCACAAGGGGAAAAGCGGCGTGCCCCAGGGACCTGTCCTGGGACCGGTGCTTTTCAACCTGTTCATAAAAGACCTGGAGACAGGGATAAGCAGTGAGGTGGCCAAGTTTGCAGATGACACAAAACTTTTCCTGGTGGTGAAGACCAGAAGGGATTGTGAAGAGCTCCAGAAGGATCTCTCCAAACCAGGAGGATGGGCAGCAAGATGGCAAATGTGTTTCAATATAAGAAAATGTAAAGTAATGGACAATGGGGCAAAAAATCAAAACTTTATTTATCAGCTAATGGGTTCTGAGCAGTCCATGACAGATCAGGAAAGAGATCTTGGTGTGCTGGTGGACAGCCCGGGGAAAGCGTCCACTCAGTGTGCGGCGGCAGTGAAGAAGGCCAATTCGATGCTAGGTCTCATTAAAAAGGGGATGGAAAATAAAACAGCCATCATTATACAGTGGTGCCCCGCATAGCAACGATAATCCGTTCCAGGAAAATCGTCGCTATCCGGAATCGTCACTATACGGGGCAAAAAAACCCCAGGAACGCATTAAACCCTGTTTAATGCATTCCTATGGGGACAAAACTCACCACTATGCGGAAATCCTCCATCCGACCGCCATTTTCGCCACCCAGTATGCAAGGAAACCGTGCAAAAACGCTGTGGGCGGCCATTTTGGTTACCTGGCGGCTATTTTGGAACTGTCGATCAGCTGTTAGAAAAACATCGCTATGCGAAAATCAGTAAGCGAAACGCTTACCGATCATCGCAATGCAATGTTTAGCCATTAAAAACATCGCAATACGATCGCAATGCGATTCGTCGTTAAACGGGGCGCTTCCTATGCGGGGCACCACTGTAATGCCCTTGTACAAAACACTGGTAAAGCCGCACCTGGAGTATTGTGTAGTCCTGGTTGCTGCACCTGAAAAAAGACGTAGTAGAACTGGAAAAGGTGCCGAAGAGAGCAACTACATTAAGGTTGAGCTGGGAGACCTCCCTTATGAGGAAAGGAAAAAAAGACGTCGTGGAAGCGGAAAAGGTGCCAAAGAGAGCAACTAACATGATGGCTGAGCTGGGAGACCTCCCTTATGAGGAAAGGCTACAGCATTTGGGGCTCTTTAGTCTAGAGAAAAGGTGCCTGACCGAGACATTAAAAATCATGCAGAGGATGGATAAAGTGGATAGAGGGAAGCTCTTTTCCCTCTCACGCAACACCAGAACCAGGAGACATCTACTCTAAATGAGAACAGACAAAAGAAAATATTTCTTTTCCTAGCATGTTGTTGGTCTGTGGAACTCCTTGCCACGGGATGTTGGGATGGCACCTGCCCAAGATGCCTTTAAAAGGGGACTGGACAGATTCCTGGAGGAAATGTCCATCACAGGTTACAAGCCATGATAGGGATGTATATAATCTCCAGGCTTAGAAGGATGCCAGATGCAGGGGAGGGGCATCAGGAGACAGGTCTCTCGTCTCGTGTGCTCCCAGAGCCATCTGGTGGGACCACTGTGAGATACAGGAAGCTGGACTAGAGGGGCCCTTGGCCTGATCCAGCAGGGCTCTTCTTATGTTCTAACATCTACCAAGTAATGTTCTATAGCCAAAGTTGATTATGCAGCACAGTCTTTCGTGCTTCAGAAAATGTTCAATTGTAAGCAATAAAGATGCACAAATACAGTGGTGCCTCGCTTAGCGAGGTTAATCCGTTCCGGATTAACCCTCGCTCAGCGAATCCATCATTAAGTGAAACAAAAAAGTCCATAGGAACGTATTAAAACTGATTTAATACGTTCCTATGGACTTAAAACTCACCGTTGTGCAAGTTTCCTCCATTGCGGCGGCCATTTTGGAAGCCTCGTTAGCGAGGCAAAACAGCGGTCGCCATTTTGTTTTAGCGGCACCCATTTTGGAACCGCCGATCAGCTGTTCGCTATGCTTTGATCGCATCCGCGCGATCATCGCATAGCGAAAAAAGCCCATAGGGGCCATCGCTGAGTGAACGCTCCAGCGATGGCCTGGGACCCTTCGTTATGCGGTTTCATCGCATAGCGAAGCGTTCGCTATGCGAGGCACCACTGTAAAATTAAATATATACACAAGAAAAAATGTATCTGTATCTAGACAAGTCACCTACAGCCATACTGAATTACTCAGTTGCAATCATATACCGTATTTTCCATTTATGACGCCCCTTTTTCTAAATCCAAATTAGAAAATTTGATCCCTGCTTTTCCCTTCTTTTTGCTAAGCCACGGAACTTAGCAAAAGGAAGGGAAAAGGAGGGATCAAAGGGCTCCCTGTGACCACCGCTTTTCCCTTCCTTTTTGCCAAGCCCCATAGAAGGGAAAAGGAGGGATCAAAGAGGTCCCTGTGACCACTGCTTTTCCCTTCCTTTTTGCCAAGCCCCATGGTTTCGCAAAAGGCAGGGAAAAGTGACTGTCAAAGTGACCCCCACTTTTCCCTGCATTTTGTGAAGCCAAAAGCGAAGCACCGCTTCTCCCGTCCTTTTTGCTAAGCCCCATGGCTTTGCAAAAGGCAGGGAAAAGCAGCGGTCACTCTGACAGCTACTTTTCCCTTCCTTTTGTGAAGCCACAGAGCTTAGCAAAAGGCAGGGAAAAGCGGTGGTCGAAGGGCTCCAGTGGCGGAGGCAGCAGGAGGAGGAGGCGGAGGCAAAGAAGCAGCCGGGCTTGGCAGCCTTTCACTGCTGCCCATTGACTGCCACCACCGCCACCTGATCGCAAGACGATGATCGCTGGAGGGGGCAATCAGGCAGCAGTCAATGGACAGCCGCGAGAGGCCGCCCAGCGTGGCTGCTTCTTTGCCTCAGTCTCTGCTTCCTGCTGCTGCCTTCCGTGTATAAAACGACCCTCAATTTTTCCTCTAATTATTTTAGGAAAAAGTGTTGTTTTATTGTGAGCTGGAGAACAAAGACCCACAGAGAAAGGAGAATGAGCCATCCCCTACAACGTCTAAGGAGGAGTGTAATAACAGAAGTAGAGAAAGTAACGGGAGAAATGACAGGATTAATGGTGGGAGGACAAGGGGAGGAGTCAGGAAAAGAAAGGAGGACAGTAAGATGTGTTCTTAACGACAGAGGAGGGGGAGAAGACAAGAGAGACAAGGAAACTGGTGGTGTGAGAAGAACAATAAGAAAGGGAAGAAGCAAGAATGTTTAAAATACAAGAGAAAAGAAACGCAAAAGAGGAGGTGCACGAAAAGATAGAGAGAGGAAAGAAAGAGGGAGGATTTAAGACACCTCTAGAAGAGTTAGGTCTGGAGGAATGGATGGTGGTGGTTTATCCCCAAGGATGAGGTCCCTGGAGGAAGGTGGTCTGGCCGGGACTTATCTCTCCGAATCAGAAGCCACCCGAGGAAGACTGGTCTCACCACCCATGCTGTGGGACTATCTGTGCGGTGATGATGAGTGGCTCCTTGCGAAAACCGACGGACCAAGAGAGATTCAGGCCATTTCCCCACTGAGGAAGAAAGATTCTCACGACATACCTCTTTTGTGGACTGAATTACCTGTAGACTTTGGTCATGTTGACCCTACAGAAGTTGTTGTCAATAACCCTGTAAGTTCTGTTAATAAAAATCTTGTTATAAAAGAAACAAATTCTCCATCTTTTCCCGCCAAAATGAAGGAACTGTCATATTCTAGTGATGAACCCTGTCACATTTATAGACGGAAAAATACGGTATACACTAATCGAGAACTAAGTCCTGTTGAATCCTGAACATAAACAGGGATGCACAAAACAGCCCTACACCTTCCAGCTGAACAACACTTTCTTAAAACCATTAAAATCAGGACCATCGGACCAAGGCATTTCAAAAGTATTGTAACTAATGTGAGTGACAATTGTTGCTTTATTGAATAGTGTTTCCTGGTTGTTTTTAAAGAGCATTTTAGAGGCATTTAGAGTAGAACTTGAAAAGTTTTATGTTATTTATGAAACTTATTTTTCCCCAAAAGAAATGTACAACATACACAAATGATTCATATAAAAAGTATTTTTAAAAATCACCATGAAAACAATGAACTAGCTTTGAGCTCTACAAGTAAAACAAACAAAGTATTTCTCAAAAACTAACTTGCCAAGCTCAGATGAACCACAGGCTATGCTAGCAGATGAGAAATGCTGCTTGAGAACCGGAGATGGGGTGGGAGAGCAGAAGGGCCAGAAGGGAAGATGGGGGCTGTGGGGAACAACAGATGTGTGTAACACAAGAAAGATAAGGAACAGGGTTGGCTTCAGGTTTCTGAGAAAAAAACAAGTTTATCAAGTAGCAGCTGTTGCAGATAATGGAAGAAAAGCTGCATGCTCAGTGTTGATTACATACCATAGAATTCATATGAAACTCTCACATATGGCTCCTTACCTTTACAGTTTGCTTAAGATGTTTCAGCTTTTCCGTTTGCAAGAGTCTTCGAGTTAGGAAACCCTTTGCCAGAGCAGAGATCTTGTTCAATTTCCTTTTCATTTCAGGACTATACACCTTAGAAAGAGAAAGCAAAATTGTATCATGAAACACAAAAGTAGATTACAGGATTTTTTTTTTTAAATCCTGTAATCTTCTTACACTTATCAATAAAATAATGGAATGCAACTTAGTCTCAAAAATTATGGCAGACTTTTTTCCTGCTTACCTGTCTTGGAATTATAGGCTCTATATTTATACTGCATGGAAATAATTTACCACGACGGAGCGAAAAAATCCACTTAGAAGTAACAAAGAAGGGATAGCTCATGCAGAATGCTAGCATGGGTCTACCAAAGGGCTAGTTTTGCAAAGGTTTAGTATTTGCTTCTTTATAACCAAAACTTTGATTTTCCTACCTGAGACCATCTCATTTTACTCCTGTTAATAGATCTGGATGCTGAAACTGATTTTCCACTTGTTGCTGGTTCCCAAAGGTAGAATGGAGCTTCAGCAGTTGAACCAGAAAGGCTGGTATTAGTAAAACCTATGTTTAAAAGTTTTAGGTCAAAATTAAGCAAATAAATATCCGAAAGAAACATCTATATTCATTAAACCACTTTCCTCATTCTGTGGCCAGATATTGCCCAGCCTGTATCATCTAGCAGATTATTTATTTATTTATTCTATTTATACCCCGCCTATCTGGTCATTGCAACCCCTGGTCATTGCGATCATATAAACACTCTCAGAGAATGGAAAATTAGCTTTTAAAATGAAAATTCCTAGAATCCCTCAGCAAATATAGTCTGCTTGAATAATCCTGCTACATGGAGGACCATCAGGTACGGCTGTTTTTCTCATTTTTGTAGAGAAATGTTTGGTCCCTACCGAAGGGACGAAATGTTTACAATATGTAGGAAGGATTCCCTATACCCCAAGGACCCTATCCAAACCAGTTTGCGCTAGATGATCCAATAGTTCAAAGGAGAGCTATGAAAATGCTGTAACTGATGCTCCCCATATATTATAAGTAGTACACAATTTATCTGTTGTACACTTTTTAAATTGCATTTTGTATATTTTAGCCATATAATATGTTCCATGAGCTGGTCACTTGGCCGTAACAAATAAATTCATTCATTCTAACTTTTTCTCATCAACACATAAGATTTCCATGTCATCAACACGTAAAAGTTTACTGTATCAACAAATGCAGCTGATCTCTACCAAGTTGTATATAGAGCAGACCTGGGCAAAGTGCGGCCCAAGCGCCACATACGGCCCGCGAGCCTCTCCTGTCCGGCCTGCGGACAGTTTTGAACATCAAAACCATTTATAGCTTTTTGTCTAAAGTTGATCAGTTGCTTATCTTTAAGATACCACAAAAAACTCTTTAGTATTTGTGAAGATTAACAAATTTAAAATAAAAACAATCATAACATCACTGTTTCATTTTATTTTAAAATAAAGTTGGTTTGGCCCCTGAAATTCAGATCTTTCATGTGGCCCCCCTATAGAAATTAATTGCCCACCCCTGATATAGAGTACTTAAAATAGATTCCACATCAAAATGAATGATGCACTCTCTCTGCTTTTACCAGCACTCTCTGGGTTTGTGCTCTGAATTGTTTCCATGCGAGTCACCACAGTTTCGAACAAGTGAGTATCGCTGATCTTTCGCCACTCCAAATTGATCCCACTGCTAATGGTAATACGGGGAATTTCCACTTCAGCTACAGCCATTTTTTCCCTTTTTATTCTCCGCTCCTGCTCTGCTATTTCCTGCCAGTAGAAGAAGCCAGAGATGTAGTTAACATTAAAATTTGAAACAGTTCCAGCAAAAACCTCCAATACCTGCAAGTCAGGAGTACTTTAAAGGCATAGTAACTGGCTCTGATGGGAGTTGGTGTCCACCTATACCAGGCAGGGCAAAGGTTCTGTTATTTATTTATTTATTTATTTATTTTATTTATTATTTGTTCGATTTATATCGCGCCCATCTGGTATATTCTACCACTCTGGGTGGCTATAAATGGTGGGATGAAAAAAATAATACAATACTTTATGGAACTTGTACAGTTTTGCCCAGGAGAATCCCATACACACAAACTACCCTTCCCTCTATGGAAGAGTACAGAAAAATAACCCTACTTTGCCCTCTTGTGCGAAGTCAACTTTGGCAGCAGCACATTATCTGCCACTGAGCTGTGACATCTTTAGGGTTACTTGTAGGATCCCATTCTTGCAGCTAAGTATTTTTTCCGCTCCTCCATCCCCGATTCAAAAGAGAAATAGTTTTATGACATTAATAACATCTCATGGGTTGTACAGAACTTTAAACTCTATCCTCAGGCATTCTAGTTTCTTGTGGTTCTACCAGGTTTTTTCTTATTACAATGTGTAAGGCATATTGATAGCACTTCGATGGAAGTATGACATACAAATATTTTAAATAATGTTTCCAGAAAAACATGCATCTCTTTCTTAAGAGGCGTTCACTGTGCCAATGTTAAAATTTCACAATGTAAAAGCGTGCTAGACTGAGACATGTTAACTACACCAAGTGTCTACATCTTTCTAAAGGAACCATTCCCAGCTGCTTCACTTGCTATTTGGAAACCATTCAGCTACCACACTTCAGTTATGACATGCCCTCCTGAGAAAATTTCTTTCCATCTTAGAGTCTGTACTAACGTAGTTGATCAGCCTATGCAACGTTTTCAGCACAGGATAACGTTGTTTCACCTGGAAGGTAATCCAGAAACTTAACATTTGTTCATAACAAAGAGAACCAGTGAAGTGTAGCAACTGGAGGGCTGGACTGGGACCTGGACGATCCCGATCCAAGCCTCCAGCCGGCCATGAGATTACCTGGGTGACTTCACTTTCTCTCTGTCCAATCCGCCTCTCAGGGCTGTTGTGAGAATCTAGCGGAAAGGGGTATATCATCTTGAATTCAGAAAGGACACTCAGGACAGAAATATAATGAAGAAACAAAAAAACCTGTTGATTAGGTATGCCTGCCCTACTCAGCCCTAAACGACACCTGATTCAGATTTTTTACTACTTTGGATACAACTTAAAGAGGCAGATACATCAACCGGTTGCTGTCTGGCCAGGCCAAAGATCTCAACTAACTCTTTGCCCCATACTTTCTGCAGCCTCTCCTGCTCTTTCTCCTGCTCAGCTATCAATAAGGAGAGCTGCTGAGCATGCTGCTCTTCAAGTTGCTTCTTCAGTTCTTCCAAGGCCAGCATCTTCTGTTTTACAGCTTCCTCATCTAGGAGAAAAAACAACAACCACATACTTATTGTCACAATAGATTGCAATGAAATTTTTATTTCCTATATGACATAAAAAGTCTCCCAAAGATAAGGAAAATAACTTCTGACTACCCTCACAGTAGGGACGTGGTGGCGCTGCGGGTTAAACCGCAGAAGCCTCTGTGCTGCACGGTCAGAAGACGAGCAGTCGTAAGATCGAATCCACATGACGGAGTGAGCTCCCGTCGCTTGCCCCAGCTCCTGCCAACTTAGCAGTTTGAAAACATTTAAAGGCGGGAAGGTAACAGCATTCCATGTCTAGTCGCACTGGCCACATGACCATGGAAACTGTTTAAGGACAAATGCTGACTCTACGGCCTGGAAAGGGGAATGAGAACCGCATCCTAGAGTCGGACACAACTGAACTAAATGTCAAAGGGAACCTTACCCTCACAGTAGCAACCCGACCACCTTTTGTTTTACATAAGCATGACTACTAGTCCACAAAGCATAAGGAGTTCACATGAACCGCCAGATAGTGGAGCATGACTTGAAAAGTAGATCCTGGAAAAGTTACTTTTTTGGACAGTAACTACAATCTGCCAGGAATTAGACATCCTTAACATCCTTTGGCCTTTAAAAAAGGGAGCTTTTGGAATTATTAAAGAATATTGGTCTGATTTTTAACAAGAAAAGCTTTTAAACATTGCTCTTGAATAATATTTGAATCTGTTTTATTGCACAACCCTTTCAGAGCACAGGAGGACCAGAGAGCAAGAATAAAAAGTCCAAGCTCTGCCTGAAAGTAAGCCTTTGTGTCAACACCAGACATCACACTGGTCCACAACATTACAGGAAAACTGAAATAGCAGCTTCCCAGCTTTACTCTATTTCCAGAAAAGTAATTCATAAAGAGAGGAATTAATAATGATGATGATGATGATGATGATGATGTGCTGTCAAGTCAATTCTGACTTATGGCAATCCTTTTTAAGGATTTCCCAGGGAGACAATACTCAGAAGTGGTTTATCATTCCCTTCTTCTGAGAGCACCCTGGAAGCTTGTCCAACGCCAGACAGGCTGGCTCTTCTCCTAGAAAGCACCTTGGGGGAATCAAACTCCCAACTTCTAGCTCCACAACAAGGTACCAAACCCACTGAGCTATCCAGCCAGCAGAAAGATACGAAGCCACTGGGAAACACTTTGTCAACAGCCTCCTCAACTACAAAGCTGCTCCTACTATGAAAACACTACAGTGGACCCTCGACTTACAGACGGCTCGACTTACAGACTTTTCGAGTTACAGACTTCTCTGGCCGCAAAATTTGCAGCCAGAGAATCGACCTACAGACCAGGAAAAAACAAAAATGGAACAAAAATGGAACAAAAACAGCTGGTTACAGGATTAATCTGTTTTCAATGCATTGTAGGTCAATGGAGACTCGACCTACAGACTTTTCGACCTGCAGCCACCGTTCCAATACGGATTAATTCCGTAAGTAGAGGGTCCACTGTACTGGGACAACAAGAAGTATTCTCTGAACATTTTTCAGAATCTTAACCAATTCAGCACTATTATTATAATTGGCATTCTCTCACCGCTGACACTTCTTTCAAGCATTTCGTTCTTCATGCTGAACGCAGACCCCATTGGACACCTCTGGTTGCAGAGCCTTCCCGTCTCTGGTGCATCACTTTTTGTTATTGCAACACAAGGCCTGTTTTCCTTCTGCATGCTCTCCATATCGAGCTCAAGCCTCCGCTTCACCTTTTCCAACCCATTCTCTAACACGTGCTCTTTTCCAAGAGCTACGCCTGGCGTATCCATCTGTTGTACTTGGGTTAGTAAGGGGGATGGGGTTTCTACATCATAGGATTTATTGAGTTCTGTGGGGGCACTAGATTTGGCTTTGTCCTGCCAACTGATTTGCTGAGCTCCGCTGGCATTTGGTTTGGTTTGCGTTGTAAACGGACAGCTGCCTGGATGCTCTTCGGCAGGACTGGGATTTGAAAAGGAAGCCCCTGAACCCCCTTCACTCTCTAAGGTCAGCTTTCCATCCTCAGAGGCACAAGCCGAGAATCTTTTGTTCTCCTGTTGCGTAACTGAAAGCTGGCACGCCTGATTCTGTTTGGTAGCCACTAATTCATCACCGATTTCTGCAGAACTCTTGTGGGAAGCCTGAACTCTGCTGGGACAAAAGGAAGCAAAGTCTTCAGCCATTTTTGGCACAGGATCAGGCAGAGTTCGCTTGTCACCAGCACCCAGCACGGCCAACTCCACAGCTTTCCCCTTTTCTTTGGGACTTAATTCATAGGAATTTACAGGGTTGGTAATAACAATGTGCCCCATCGAAGATGGCCTTGGGCGCCTCCTATGCATTTTGGGGCTCATACTAGGCTCGGGACTGGGTAGTTTGGAGTAAGAGCCCGTGAAGCTTCGGAAAATGTTGCTGCCAAGCTCAAAGAATGAAGGACTTCTAAAGTCTTCATCGGAATCGGAATCCAAAACAGGAGGTGTTCCAGACCTCATTGGGATATCCACTTTGGAAAAACTGGCTGATGCTACTAGACTTGTATTAGCTTTGGCGACTGAGCTACTTTGTGGAGAAGTACTGGATTTGGCAAAACCTGACTTGTCATGTGCTGTAGTGATACAACTCCTGCCCGTTAACTTTCCTCTCTCTTTCATCAAATCACTTGTTTTAACAGAGTCGTTTTCCTTATCTGAATGGCTTTCACTCCCATTTCTCCTTGAACTGGTTCGCAAGCTACGCCTGGTTTGTTCTCTCTGTATATACTCCTTAGATTTTTTTAAGAGGTTCTGAAGACTCATTGTGTATGGATCTGGGCCTTCTGCATCAGCTGCTGCCGTCTCAACACCATCTTTCTTTGCAGCCTCATTTGAGGGAGATGCATTAGTTGGCTTGGAAAACGAACCTTCTGGGCAAGGTCTTTCTTCAGAGAGACTAGAACATGGATCCTTTGGTTTCTGAGAAAGAAAATGTTCTGTCTCCTCTAGAGAGTTCCCACTTGATACAACATGTGCATCTAATCTCCTAACAACTGGTACTCCTTTAGGCCTCACGGGCACACTGGGAGTAATAGAACATGGCAAAATATTGCTTGATTGTGTTACAAAGTCACTTGATCCTTTTGATTCTAAATCCAAATGAATGTTGCCTGTTGTGGACTGGTCTAAGTCACCTAGACTGGGCAATTTCTTCATCTGTAAGAAAAGAGAATAATTAATGTAGAGTGCTAACATATTAAAAGATGAAGAAAGGTTTCTGGAAAAGTATAGAAATGGACACAATCAATATGCAGCTCAGGAGCCAAACAACAAAATGGGCATGTTTAACTTGAGAAAAGAGGACAAAGGGGTGATAGGATACCACTTTTCAAATACTTGAAAAGCTATCATACAGGGGAGCGGCAGGATCTGTTCTCAATCATTCTGGAGTGCAGGATGGGTCAAGTTACAGGAAGCCGGATTTTGGGGGGAAATCAGGAAAAACTTCCTAACTGTTAAAGCAGTAAGATAGTGGAACCAATTACCTTGAAAGACAATGAGTGCTCCAACACTGGAGGCATTCAAGAGAAACTTAGACAACCACCTGACACGCTTTCATTTGTATTCCTGCACTGAGCAGGAGGTTGGACTTGATGGCCTTATAGGCCCCTTCCAAATTCATTATTCTATTATTCTATGAACATATTGTTAACCGCACACATTCAAGTCTTCGTACATTGTTGAGTTTTAGAGTTTTTTCATTTTGTTGAAGCTCTGCTGGTGTTTGTGGATTTCAATGGCTTCCCTGTGCAGTCTAACATAACGATTGCTGGTGGTGTCTAGTACCTTTGTGTTTTGAAATAGAATTTCATGTCCAGCCTGTTTTAGGTCATGTTCAGCTACTGCCAATTTTTCCAGTTGTTTTAGTCTTCAGTGTCTCTCATGTTCTTTGATTCTGATGTGGATGCTTCGTTTTGTGGTTCCAATATATACCTGGCCATAACTGCAAGGTATCCGGAATACTCCTGCAGTGGTGAGGGGGTCCCTTTTGTCCTTTGCTGACCATAACATTTGTTGTACTTTTGTGGTGGGCTGTTTGTAGGTTGTGTTTTCACAAGTATTTCACTAGTAAACAGTATTCAGGCCCACCACAAAAATACAACAAATATTACAGTCAGCAAAGGACAAAAAGGACCCCCTCACCACTGCTATCTGTGAAAGCTTGGGAGGTTATAATAAAGAAGCAGCTTAAATTAAATACCTAACCTGATCTTTAGTACTGTAGCTTGTGGAGAAACTTAATGAGGACAGTTATTGGGCAAGGACCTGAGTAACAGTGAAAACTAACTTACTATTGCTGGAAGCAAGCTAACCACTTAGTATTTTATGACCAACATTCTCCCAGTAAGAATTTCAACTCACAGGTCAGGTGATGGTTGCCATGTATATACCAATAAACATAGCAAGAAAACTGAATAGGTCACCTTGGGACTCTATTATTATTGTTTCTCAACAAGCGGAACACGGTCTGTTTAGCAAGGGAGCTCATTCAAATGCTATAGAGTTTTACCATAAACCAAAACACTATTTTATCATGTCTGTCAAAGACTGTAAAGATCTCATTCACAGCATCCAACAAATATAAAACCCATTCTTTCAACAGAATGTATGTGTCAACAGCCTTATGTACAGGAAGTGGACATGAAGAATTCAAGAAAGACAATGGCTGAAATCCTGTTGCTTAGTGAAGTAAATCGCACTATAATAGGCCCACTGAATCAGTGGATATTTGGTGAGTTAATTCCTCTGTAAGTTCCATTGATTTAAATGGGTCTACTCTGGCTGCAACTTACTACAGTAATGTAAATTTGATCTGATGGAACTTCCTGCGGAGTTGAGTCACCCAATCCCCACTCACTCACTGATCCTACTCAAGTGTAACTTACTACACTAAGCAACAGGATTTTAGCCAGTGTGTTGTCATAGCAGGCACAATAAAGAGAGGCTTATAGCACCTTGAGACTAGTATATCAGTTGTGGTTCACATTTTATGAATCACAGCCCCTTTCACTAATCTTGCACTTAACAAAAGAGGCCTCTTGTCCATAAAAGTGTATGCTGCAGTAAATCTGTCCAGGTACACTGTCACAGGACTTCTAATTGTGTTGAGATAGTAAAAAGAAACAGATATTTATTGTTTTGTTTCCCTATTTCAGAAACTTTAGTGCCAATGTGTTTTTTTGCAAAATCTATAACCAGGGCTCAGTATTCAAGAGTATGTTGTTTGAAGACCAGGTATCTCTATTCTGTAGCCACTATACTGATAGGCCACTTCGTTTACTGTATACAAAATTATTCAGTACAGTGGTGCCTCGCTTAACGGGCGCTCCATTTAGCGACGAAACCGCATAGCGCTTAACTTTTTGCGATCGCAACAGCGATCACATTGTGATGTTTCCTATAGGGTTTTATCGCTTTGCGATGATTGGTTCGCTGGTTCGCTGACCGATCACCGCAAAGCGATGATTTTTTAACAGCTGATCGGCAGTTCAAAAATGGCCGGCGGGGTAAAAAAATATGGCCGCCTGCTGTGTTTTTGCGCCGATTCCTCGCTTAACAGGCAGCGAAAATGGCCGCCGTATGGAGGATCTTCGCTTTAAGGTCAGTTTTTTGCCCATAGGAACACATTAAACAGGTTTTAATGCATTTCTATGGGCTTTTTAAAATTGCATAACGACAAAATCACTTAACAGCTATTTTTGCTGCACGGTTTAACGTCGCTATGCAAGACACCACTGTATAGTATTTGCCACACAGTTCATATTGCTACACAGTAGCAAACAGAACACTGACATCTCTTTCCACCCAACCTTTAAATCAGATTGCCTTTTTGCTGTACTACATACCTGTTCAGACAGGTCTCACCCAAACTCACCTGTACATTTTCCACAATCTCTTGAATGCGATGCAACAAAATTCTTTTTTGAGAAGTCCGTCGGCAGTATTCTAAATCCAGAGCTTTTTGTCGATCTTGTTGTAGTTCCTTTTTCCTTTCAAGAGTTAACTGAAAAATCAAGGTAGGAGAGAAGAATGGAAGACTATTTAGAATGTCCTTCACTTAGGATGCCCTTTGCTCAACTCTTAATTGTTTGCCCAAAAACAAAAGAAAAGAAAAACATAGCATATAACACCCATATACCGAAATTACAATTGCAATCTAAGGTTTAGCCCATTCTTTTTCACCATAAAATATTTTTAAATAACAAAGATATCTTACCAGAGGAGAAAGCACGGGAATACCATTAAACTGGATAACTGAAAGTTTTTTGTGCGGAGCAGGTGGAGGTGTCCCTTCGGGCCCCGGTGCCCCTTGGAGTCGAGCAAGCTGTTTCTTACAGAACGTTTCATAGTCTTCCATCTTAATTCAGCTGGACTACAGTTGTAACACTCTCTGACCATAAGAATTTTATGTACTTATTTGGACTGCAAAGATAAGAGAAAAGGATGACCTGTTACCTAAACATCCCAGAATATGTATGATGCTAAATTTCAGACCACTAATTCCACTACACAGGTGATGTACACCTGTGTACACCTTTCAACAAACAGTACCATCCATTTGTCATCTTGTGCCACTATGAATGCTGCATACGGCTATGGCATTTCTGTAAAGGTAGCTACTGCAAGGATTAGACAAGGGACTTTAAGTACCAGAAAGGTGGAGTTTAGAATCTATGTCGCACATGGCCTCCAGCACACTGACACCATTCAGGCACAATGATAAAGCAGTCGTCTAGAGAATCCTCATTTATAATGGATGAACAAAATGCTCATTTATGCCGACTCTTTTATGCCACTTGCTTCATCTTTCTACCCAAGATCTCCAGAAGGACCCCTTCAGCAATTTCCTTTTTGTACTCATTTTATTTCATTCCCTCCCATTCTAGTTTATTGTGATATTGTTGTTGGTCACTGCCAACTCTGAGGAGAGTCTGTCTACTTGTGGAGAGATGTGTTTTTATGGGAGGGAGAATAGTCGGGGGGGGACCTCAGGAAGCAGTTATTGGAATTGTTCGGGGCAGGGGGAGATATGTGGAGAGCAGCTACAGCATCATGTGAGAGAGAAGAAGGAAAGGGTATTGGTTGCCCCTAAGCTGTTCCCAAATTTAAATAGTTTAGATAAGCCTTGATGTCAGGCCTCCGGGGTTGAAAAAATGCTGCTGCAGAGACCAGTAAAGGAGGAAACAACAGCCATCTAAGACTTGATCCTGGATGAGCCAGCCGATCTGGCGTGCCTCCCGGAGACTTGGTTGGATGAGGCTGGGAGTGTCAATTTCATTCCTTTTTGTCCACCAAGGAGCAGGCAAGACCTGGTGGGAGGGTGGAGTTGCAGTGACCTATCATATTATTACGTCCCTCACCAGATGATGACCTGTCATATGCCCCAGTTTTCCAAGTTTGAAAGGGTGTATCTGAAAGTGGGAGTCTGGGACAAAATAAGAATTCTGTTGGTGCCCAACCCGTTGCTCAAGTGGTCTCGGGAATGGCGCCTTCAGCTTGCTAGGCTGGGGGACTTCAACATGCATGTCGATGTAGTTTATCAGAAGTGCTTCAGGACTTGACGACCATGGGTCTGTCCCAAACAGGATCTGCCCCAGTCACGTTGCAAGGCACACTTCAGACATGGTCTTCTGTATTGGGGTAAATGCTGGTGATTTGTGTGTGGAGAAACTTTCGTTAGTTCCACTGTCATGGACGGATCATCATCTGATGCGGTTCTGACTCACTGGAAGTCAGAGCCTGTGCAAGGGTAAGGCACTGATTAAGATGGCCCACCTCAGGAAGCTGATGGATCCAAATGTTTTTCTGAGGGCCCTTGGGGAGTTTCCTATCACCTCGGAAGACAATTCTATTGAAGCCCTGCTTGATCTCTGGAATAAAGAAATGGCCAGGATTATTGACACAATCACTCCTAAGTGTCCCCTCCCATGGAGTAGAATCAGACTGGCCCCCTGGTTTACTGGGGAGCTGATGGTGATGAAATAAGTGGAATGGAGACTAGAGTGATGAAAGTGGAAAACTAGGAGTGAATCCAACCAAATGCAGGCAGGGGTCCATTGGAAGGCCTATTCCATGGCAGTGGTGGCAACAGGAAGAAGTCATTCTTCTCTGCTACCACTGTGTCTCCACAGAGTCATCTAGCAGAGCTCTTTTGAGTGGTCTTTTACATGCCAGCTCACAGGAAAAAAAATGCAGACCACACTATAGCTTGCTGTAAAGAATTTGCACAATGCTTTGCAGGCAAAATTGCTCAGATCCACTCTGACTTGGATGCTGTAGATGATAGAGATCCTGTGGCTTTAACTATGGCCCCCGTTCATCCTGTGCTAATGAATAAATATCAATTTTTGCAGCCTGATCCATCTCTAATATTCCATTCTTGGGGAAGGTGCTGGAGCAGGTCTTGGCTTCTCAGCTCCAGGGGTTTACTGGATGAGACAATCAAAATCCATTTCAATCTGGCTTAAGGCTTAGTTATGGGATGAAGACTATTTTGGTTGCCTTGATGGACGATCTGCACTGGGAAAGGGATAGGGGGAACATGCCCCTGTTAGTTCTGCTGGACACCTCCGTGGCTTTCAATACCAACAACCTCTTGACCCATTTCTCTGGAAATCTGCTGGACACTTCTGTGGCTTTCAGTACCAACAACCTCTTGACCCATTTCTCTGGGATAGGACTTGGAGGCAATTTTTATACAGTGACTACAGTCCATCATGGAAGAGAGAACTCTGAAAGTAGTGCTGGGGGATTCCTGTTTGAACCCCTAGCCTGCAGGGTCTCTTATATTATTTAACATCTATATGAAATGGCTGGGAGACGTTGTCCAGAATTTTGGGGTTCGGTGTCACCAGTATGCATATGACACCCACCTTTACCTCTCTTTGCCATCTAAATCTGACAAAGCTGTATTAGCCCCTGATCTCGTCTGGATGAGGGCGAATAAACTGAAACTTAACCCAGACAAGACAGAGGTGCTCTTGGTCAGCTGAAAGGCAGATCAAGGAATAGGGTGCAGCCTGTGCTGAATGGGGTTACACCCCCTCTGAAAACACAGGTGTGCAGCTTGGGAATGCTCCCGGATTTGCCTCTGCACCTGGGTACCCAGGTTTCGGCAGTGGCCAGGAATACCTCTGCACAGTTAAAACCAGTGCACCAGTTGCACTCGTTCCTTGAGAGGTCTGCTCTGGCCATGATGACATATGCCTTAGATACATCTCAGCTGCATTACTGTAACATGTTCTACATGGAACTGCCTTTGGAAAGTGTTCAGAAACTCTCTGCGCCTGGGTACCCAGGTTTTGGCAGTGGCCAGGAATACCTCTGCAGTTAAAACTAGTGCACCAGTTGCACTCATTCCTTGCGAGGTCTGCTCTGGCCATGATGACACATGCCTTAGATACCTCTCAGCTGCATTACTGTAACACGTTCTACGTGGGACTGCCTTTGGAAAGTGTTCAGAAACTCCAGCGGGTCCAAAATGCCATGGCCAGATTATTAACTGGGACTGGCTATAAGGAATATACCGTTATCTTCCTAATCAAAATGCTCTGGATAGTCTCCTGTTTGCCATGGTTCTTTCTAACGTACAGAACCCAGAACTGGACAGAGTATTCCAGATGTGGCCTGACTAGCACAGAACAGAATGTGATTATTAGTTCTGCTAACATGGCCCTAATCTGCATTGTTTCTAGTAAGCAGCTTGCATCATATTGCTGGCTCAGGTTCACTATCTGATCAATTTAGGCACTTAGCTCTTAACAACCATGGTTAAAGGCATGTGGCTCTTATTTTTTAAAAGCTTTATTCACTACTGTGATCTATGCTCTTCCATTTATGTCTACAAATGGATTTTGATTTTACTGCCAAGACATGGTTTTGTTTGCCTCAACAATCCAGAGCAAAGCTGAAGGAGAATGCTGAATGTGACTTAATTTCTTCTTCTTTCCCCAAAGCAAAGCTGAATGTGACTTAATTTCTTCTTCTTTCTTGATAGTCTTGTCAATAATCCTTTCTCATCACTAAACTTACTTCAAAGAAAGTGTTTTCAGTTCAGAATGCAAACACATCATCTAACAGAGCAGCAAATTTGCAAAGCATTGATGTAGGAGGAGAAGGGCAGCCAGAGCTTATACATGAGCCAGAGTTGTACACAAGAAATTTGACTACTCTTTTGTGAAAAGTCCATGCTGCAAGGCATTTCTAGTACACTCTGAATTATGTTCATCTCATGAAGCTCCAAGATGGAAAACAAGAGGAAACACAACTCATACAGTTTGCATAGAGAAGATCCTACATTCAGTCTCTGGCATCTCCAGTTAAAAGAGGAGGCTGTTATAAGGTTTATCTCTGTCTTAGGTATCTGGCTGCGGAGCCAAGTTTGGGAGTTCAATTCCCCACTGTGCCTCCTGCAAGTAGAGCAACCCTATTTGGCCTTTGGCAAGCTGCACAGTCCCAGGGCTCCCCCAGAACAAGGGAATTGTAAACCACTTCTGTGTAGTTTGGCTTTTGGCAAGCTGCACAGTCCCAGGGCTCCCCCAGAACAAGGGAATTGTAAACCACTTCTGTGTAGTCTCTACTGGAAAAACCCTGAAAAAGTTTGCCGTAAGTCAGAAATGATTTGACGGCACATCATCATCATCATCATTGAAACAGCTTGCCGCAAGTCAGAACTGATTTGACGGCACATCATCATCGTCATTATTATTTTCTTGAAGATCTACTACCAGTTATTATAAGCACTACTGGACTGACAAATTGTCTGTCTGATATAAAGAAGGGCATTTAACCACTTTAATCACTATAAATCGAGAGCCACTCCCCCACCAATTCACAAGAGAATTCTAATAGGAAGCATTCTGAAATTTCTGCTTCTCCTTAGAGTTCTAAGGAACTGAAATCATCCAAAAGCCAGTCATTATCTTGCACAAGAGGAAATGTCACTCAGAAAGGAATTCAATGAGGGAACCCACTAAATAGAATCAGGTAAACTCTGAATCAAAAAAGTATCTCCACAAACCATAACTGTTATTCTCAAGAACAGACTACTGCAATGCTTTCTATGTGGGGCTTCCCATGAAGATACAGAAGTTTCAGGAGATCTGGAACATGGCAGTCACACATTAACTGTTACTCTCTAGAACAGACTACTGCAATGCTTTCAATGTGGGGCTTCCCATGAAGATACAGAAGTTTCAGGAGATCTGGAACATGGCAGTCACACAATTGAGCGGAGTAAGTAAATATCAACACATCTCCCCAACTCTAGCCGCCTTACACTGGTTACCTGTCTGCTTCCGTGCCAGCTTCAGGGTGATGGTTTTAACATATAAAGCTCTAAAATGGTTTGGGACCTCAGTACCTGGCAGAACACCTTCCTCCAGTCAGAGTTGCCCATCTACTCACTCGTGCCAGGCTGGACATTTGAGGATGCTGACCCTGAGAGAGGCCTGGTGCGGGGAAACTAGGTACCAGGCCTTCTTGACAGTCACTCCCCGACTCTGGAATCAACCTCCTCCAAATATCCACCTGGTCCCTTGCTGGCACTTTTTAAGAAGCTTTTTAAAATGTGGCTGTTTTGACAGACATTTTAGTCTGATTCACCAACAGTGAAACTTTTAAAAGCATGCTGCTTAAATACCATCCCATAGTGCTTAAAGCAGCCTCTGAGCAGCTTACAAGTTTATTATGCAGGCTCTACATTGGCCCCTTAACGAGCTGGGCCAACCACGGCTACCTGGGATTGAACCCCAGGTCGTGAGCACAATTTTGGCTGCAGTACAGCAGTTTAACCACTGGCCTACAAGGTTCTTGTTATTACCCAGTAAGATTATAATACCATCATTTTAAATGTTGTTATATTTCATTATGTTTTATTATGCTATATTTGCTTTTATATTAGTATTGATGTTTTGATTACTGGGTATGGTTAGATGTTTTGTCTATTGCTTGCAGTGGTTAAAACGCTGTACTGCAAGCTAAAACTGTGCTCACGACCTGGGGTTCAAACCCCAGGTAGCCGGCTCAAGGTTGACTCAGCCTTCCATCCTTCCGAGGTCGGTAAAATGAGTACCCAGCTTGCTGGGGGGGGGGCAATGTGTAGCCTGTATAAATAAAAATTGTAAACCGCCCGGAGAGGGCTTGTAGCGCTATGGGGCGGTATATAAGTCCAATAAATAAATAAATAAACAAACTACCCAGAGCGGCTTTTGATTCAGGCATAGGCATCCTTCAGTCTCGAGAGACTATGGTAACATGCTCTGAATCGAGGAGTGTCCTCTCCAGAGCATGAAGCCCAGGTAAGGTAATATCATGGTTAGATGTTTTGTCTATTGTTTTGTTTTATGCTGTAAACTGCCCAGAGCGGCTTTTGATTAGATGGGGGGGTATATAAACAAACTGCAGTGGAGGCTAGGAACAGATGGAGTCACCAACAGCAACCAAAGCCCTCCAAAGCAGAATCCTCTGCCCACCCTCTCATATTCACAATACAAATAGCAGCCACATTACATATTAACCCAGGACAGGCTTTTCCCAAGCCTAGTAACATGCTATGTAAAATAACAAAAAAATTAAAATAACAAAAAAAAAAGAGTATATGGATTGGGCTGTTGAGTCAATGCTGGCCAAAAGGGGAAAGGAAGCAGTATTTTTGACCCTTTGATTAGATGAGGGGTATATAAACAAATAAACTGCAGTGGAGGCTAGGAACAGATGGAGTCACCAACAGCAACCAAAGCCCTCCAAAGCAGAATCCTCTGCCCACCCTCTCATATTCACAATACAAATAGCAGCCACATTACATATTAACCCAGGACAGGCTTTTCCCAAGCCTAGTAACATGCTATGTAAAATAACAAAAAAATTAAAATAACAAAAAAAAAAGAGTATATGGATTGGGCTGTTGAGTCAATGCTGGCCAACAGGGGAAAGGAAGCAGTATTTTTGACCCTTTGTAAAAATATGAACAAATGAATCCTATTAGAATAAAGAAGTACAGTGGGGTCTTGACTTGAGAACTTAATCCGTATTGGAAGGCGGTTCTCAAGTCAAAAAGTCTGTAGGTCACAATACAAATAGCAGCCACATTACATATTAACCCAGGACAGGCTTTTCCCAAGCCTAGTAACATGCTATGTAAAATAACAAAAATTTTAAAATAACAAAAAAAGAGTATATGGATTGGGCTGTTGAGTCAATGCTGGCCAACAGGGGAAAGGAAGCAGTATTTTTGACCCTTTGTGAAAATATGCACAAATGAATCCTATTAGAATAAAGAAATAAACCAGTTAGGATTGAGTGGGTAGTCTGGTATGAGTCAATTTGTTGAGGTAGAGTAACCATGTATGAGACTACGCTACTACACTACTATTTATGGGGAGAGTTATTGTATCTACGCTGTGACTAGTGATTAAAGGAAGACTTCTCCAGAATCCAATTTTGTTCTGGAATTTTTCAAGCCCTTTCAAAACCGTACACATCTGAATTCACACTGAAAAGCCCATACAGTATATGCGAACACTCACATAGGTATAAAAAAAACCCGGCTTGCTGTCTGCTAACTAATGAGCTATGGAAAACTCACAGACATTTTTAAACATTTAATTCAGCTTATGGTCCAAACATCCCCAAATCCCACGTTTACCTCCTTCTTTGCTGTAACAACAGCTTGCCTCACAGTAAAAATCAGAATATCCAGAAGCATTTTTTTAAAAAAGACAAAACTTGCCTCACAGTAAAAGTCAGAAGACTCAGAAGCAATTTTTTAAAAAAGACAAAACTAAAATTAAGTCGATCAAGATCAAATAACAGTGATCAGAAGTTTTGCAAACAATATCTAACCCAAATGTATACATGCTGTTGTTTTGGTGTGGCAAATACAGAACTGTTTTCAGCTCTATCCCTTTGAATCCCAAGCAAAGAGGGAGAACTCCTCCAGCACAATATCAACCCTTTCTTCTCAGGCTGCGGAGTCCTGCAACGGGGCCCTTGTAAGAAAAAGAGGTTTTCAGGTCCACCCATGACGGCCAGCAGTTGTATTGAGCTTCACACCATTAACCCTCTTCCCCCCCCCATTGCTTATTTTTAGGGTTACTATTAAAGCTGGAAGTCCAACTCCCCCGCTGGGCTTCCTGGGAGTAGAGCCAGCCTGGGTGGCCCTGGGCCGGCTGCACCATCAGCCCCAAGGGATGTCCAGGGAAGAAGGGGAGGCCAAACTCTGGCTGGATAACCCTGGAAAGGGTGTCGACATCCAGTCCCCATTGACTTGGACAGCACCTACTGTACTGTCCTTATTCACCGCTGGATTGAAAAACAACAACCATGCCTACACACCTATTTGAAAAACAACTCTAGAGGGGCACAAATCAGCACATCATACTAACAAGTTTTCCTTTAGCACGCGTTTTCATGGACCAAAAAAAAAAAGCGCGTTTTCTTTCTATCTACTTCAGATGCATTAATTCTAAGAAGACGCTCATCGATCTTGAAAAACAATTTTTTTAAAAAAGCGGCTCCACCGAAAGAGAAAAAACGAAGCAACTGCACTGTGTTCACTGGGCTTCCTCCACAGCGAAAGCCTCTCTGTCCAAGATGCTCCGAAGGAGGCCCAGGTGGGGGTCGGGGGGCTGGTCTTCCTCTTCTTCTTCTCCTCTACTCTCCACCACCCCCCCACAAATGGCAAACCCTCCGACCCGGGAGGACCGAGGGGCCTCTCCCTCTCCTCCTCCGCCCAGCCCGAAGGCCTTTTTTCTCCTTCGCGAGAAGCTCCCCTTCGCCTCTCCCCCTCAGGCGCGCCTGCCTCGCTTACCTCCAGGGAGCTTCTCCCGACCCGTCCCCTGGCAACGCCAAGCCGAGCCTCCCTCACAGGCGCTTCCTTCCGGCGGCGGGAAGAAGAAAACCGTTGCAAGCCGGCCCCGCCCCCCGGCCCCTCCCACAAGGAGCGCCGCCGCCGCCGCCGTTTCTAGGTTACCAAAGGGCGAAAACTACAAGTCCCAGGAAGCACAGGGACGCAGGCTTCTGAGCGCTGTGCAGACTGGGAGCTGTAGTTTTCCCCAGAAGTCCGAGCTGACCAGCTTTTGTTTGGCTGTTTCCTCTTGTTTTGTTCTGTTTTAATAAGAAATTACGGCAAGGCTCGTGAGCCAGTTGATTGGCCTATAAATAGCTCCTGTTCGTCCTTCCCTGACTAAAAGTGCAACGAGATGGGGAAAGAGCTCACCTTTGGGGACCCGTGGCGGTGCAGTTCCAGCAATCCACACGTCCCAATCACACAGCAATCACACGGCAATAAAACTTCGGCTTGACCCCAATCTGTGGCTAGGCCTGGACCGCTTTGATCCGGTGGCACGACCACTCTTTATGGACGAATGGGCTGGAGTGCAGCTGAACAAATGGAATTATTTCTCTTCAGGAAACGTTGGAAAGGGCAGCTGTCAGTCAGAATCAACTTGACAGCACGGAATTATTATTAAATGTACTGTATTGTACGAGAGCTTAGGTTAAGATGTCTCTGTCGACCATCTTGAGCAGGCAAATGGAATCCTGAGTCTGACTCTAAGTGCATGGCATGCATGGCACCTCATCAATTAGCTGCTGTAGTTGTTGGAATTTTGTTTACAAAGCTGTCTGCAGATCGAGCGACTGGGTGGGACTTTTTCTGGACTGGAGTTATAGTCTGTCTAACCAATTGTTCCTTCCAGCTTTTGAAATTTAAAGACAGCCTTTGCCTCTCTGCTGTGTGTTCTATTCCACTATATTGTCAGTCCTTGGCAACTGTTTGTTGTTGTTGATCTATTCAGTTGCTTGCTAGTCTGTGTGTGGTAAAGAAAGCAGTATACACACCTGTAATTTCAAGTAACTGTAAATAAAGAACCATTTTTATTTTTTTTTCTCCTCCAAATGTCTGAGGAAGTTATGCCAGAGTGCGTGCTGGTTAATGAGAAAAGAGTGGACTCTGAGGAACCTGTACTTATTCTCTTCTGTGGCTCGCTGTACAGTACTTCTACTATGTAGCAAAAGAGATTTTTTTTCCAGAAATCCAAAACTCTGCAATAGCAGTTACACAAGTACCCACTAGATTCTCAGACATTGCTGGGGAATGCTACCCCATCTTCCCCCATACTGTATAGTTTCTTTCTGTATCTGACAACCAAGGAAAGTAATACTAGAGAGTGAGCTCGTCTAATTAAGCTAGAAAGTAGGATATTCAAAACAGAAAACAGTTGAGTTTTCACATAGCATATAGTTCAGCTACAGAATTCATTACCTCAGATGTAAATGTAAGACAGCTTTAATAGAGGATTAATGGAGGATAAAAAAATTAATACCACACTAGCCAGAGGATAATTCATGCTGGATAAAGAGATCAGTGCCAGTCTACTTGGCTTCTGTGCTTGGAATGGGGAGGCGATGCACTTCCTTGTAATCTGTATGAGTGCAAAAGTCATCTCCTGTTGCCAAAATTCAATGGCATGCTGTCTCTTATCACATATGTAAGAAGTGGTCAATATGAGAGGGCTTTTATGCAGATACAGGCCAGGCCAAAGGCATTTTGATGCCAGAGGTGTTTTACTGTCTCAGGATGAGAACAAGGTGGTGCTGCCTCCTAGTTCCACATACAGAAGACAAGTAGGTTGTAACATACTGCAAATCATCCTTCAACATTTGCAATGAAATAATGTATTCAATACCACATGCACGGTAGCAGCCTCGTTTAGGAGGTCCACAGCAGGGTCATCAGTGGGCACACAAAGCTCTGTTCTCCAGTAGAGGGAAACAAATGGGGAAATTCCCCCTGGAACAGTTGGAAGAGCCATCACGTTCCCCCCATCATCTTTTGTTATTGGTTCCCTCTGCCTAATAGGATTAGTTCTATGCCCACGTCCTGCTTGTGAGCATCCTAGGAGCATTTGGCTGGCCATGCTGGGAACAGAATGACAGGCTACATGCAATAGGCAATATGTGATTAAAGCACAAGGAGTGCCCTAAAATTTTGGGTTGAGTTTTGCACTCGCTCTGCAAGCTATCCCTCTTAGATAAGGCCTCTGATTTGATCTAGCCAGGCTTTTCTTAGTTTCTTAGATGATGATTGGTATGGCTTTCTTGGTGATGGATGTATGCGTGTATCCTCATACATGGCAAAACAGCCTATGATCAGTGAGGTCTGAGCAATCATCAAAGCATTCTTCTAGTGGTGGTTCCCGACTGTGGGTCCCCAGATGTTCTTGGACTGCAGCTCTCAGACAGGAGGGCCTGGCCTGCTCTGGTCCATGGGGTCACGAAGAGGCGGACGTGACTTAAGGACTAAACAACAACACGACAATAGTAAAGAAAAAGAAGCCCGTAAGTGTTAACATAATTTGTAGTTTTGAAAAAGCCGTGCTGTGTCATCATGGAGCGATCCTTGTATGTTTTTAAGATCGTAGATGTATACACGGCCTGGGAAGGAGCGATCCAATAAAGAAGGTTCTGATTCCGTGGGATTCAAATAGGGGGGAAAAAATCGCCGCTCGGTGAGGTCGGAACTCCCGAGCGCCTCCGGAATCGCCCGAGTCCCGAAGACGCCCCGCTCCGCCCCCTCCCACGTCTTCCTCGATCCTTAGATTTCTATTGGCTGGCTGGGATCCGGAGACTGAGGGACGGGATTGGCTGGCAGGGGGAGCCGGGCGCCGTGAGGGGATTGTGCGGCCAAAGGCCGAAGGGGCGACGGTTGGCGGCTCCGG